ACTGTCTTCCACAATGGTTCAACTAATTTACACTCCCACCAACAACATAAAAGTGTTCTTATTTCTCCACACCCTCTCCAGCATCTGTTGTTTCCACATTTTTTAATGATTGCCATTCTAACTGGGGTGAGATGGTATCTCAGTGTAGTTTTGATTTGCATTTCTCTAATGACCAGTGATGATGAGCATTTTTTTGTATGTTTGTTGGCTTCATATATGTCTTTTGAAAAGTGTCTGTTCATATCCTTTACCCACTTTTGAATGGGTTTGTTTTTTTCTTGTAAATCTGTTTTTGTTTCTCGTAGACTCTGGATATAAGTCTTTTGTCAGATGGGTAAATTGTAAACATTTTTTCCCATTTTGTTGGTTGCCATTGTTTCTTTTGCTGTGCAGAATCAGTTGTGTGTGATTTCCTCAGTGCAGTTGTTAGTTGCTGCAATGAAGCGTTTGCTGGAGATGGGAACATCAGGTGGGCCCATCCTTGAGCACCAAGAGGCAGCAGCAGGCTGAGCATGCCTGTCCTTGGGCCCTGGGGCAGTGTATGGTAGCACTGACATTAGAAGGTCCTGGTGGGCTGATTCTTGGGCCAACAGGCAGCTTGCCTGGTGCCAGCAGTAGCATGGTGGGCAGGTCCTTGGGCTTGCTGCCCACAGACAGCAGGTCACGTGTGGTGCAGGCAGTGGCAGGACAACCCTCTGATTCCCAAGTGGTTTGCGCTGGTGTTGACCATGATGGGCTCGGTGGCTAGTCCCCATGCCCACAGGTGGTGCATGTGGGTGGTCCCTTCCTCAGGCCCCTGGGAAGTGTGCTCAGATGTCAATGATAAGTACACCCTCCAGTGCCTGGGCACAGCGGTAGGTGGAGCCAGGCTGGATAGGTCCCTCAGTGGTGTGTGTAGGCCCTGGCTGTCGTAAGCAGGGGTGGTTTTCCATGGCAACAGCCATAAACAGGTGGGCTGGAAGCATGCACTTTGGCCCCAGATGGCATCTGCGGGTAGGGTAGCCTGTAATCAGGCTTGACAATGCACAGTGGCTCTGCTGGCTCACTGCCAGTGGCTTGCATAATATTTTGATGGGGGATGTTAATGGGGCTTCAGAGATGTGGATATGTAAGGGCTGTTGGGCCTTAGGGAAGGATACTGTCTGCTGGGGGGTTGGGCCCTCAAAATGGTGCCCTGCTATAGCTGCTTAGGACTCTGGGGGACAAGCTCCTTTTCTGGAGCAGTGCCATCATGCAGTCCCCACGCTCCCTGTTTGTGTGGGTTGAGCGTTTCTCCCTTTGTTGGGATGCCAGGACTTCACAATGGGAATGTGGATGTGGACTGTTGGGAGTCACTTACCCTTTTCCTGCATGGGGGAGCCTCCCCAACCAATCCCTGCCAAGCACCCTGCTGTGCATTCCGCTCCTTACGTGCCTCAGGTGTTTCCTGGCATTTTGGTGTTAAATGCCAGCAGTCTCTCCCAGGTGATCTATTCCACGTGTGATTACTGCTGTTTTGGTGGTTCGTCAAGGAGAAAGCAAGTACCAGATGCCTTTAGTCAGCCATCTTGAAACCCACTCCATTGTTTTCGACTAAATGGCTTGCTGTCCTTGACCACAGCTTTTGCTTCCTCCTAACTAACTTTAGTTTGCAAATAACCTATTCTATACTCATCAGGCACCTTTCCTACTACTTTTGAAATTAGGTAACTCCTTCATACTTCTGGTATAAATTCCAGAGTCAAAATATAGCCTACCTAGCAGATCTCTGGGTGATGCCTGGTGTTAAGTCATCTAGTCAGTGCAGGGAGATGTGGGTATGCAGGGAGACGAGGCGCTGTGTGGTCCAAATTGGACTGACTCTTACAGCTGTATCTGTGAATGGGCAATTCCACCCAGAAGGAGAATTCATAAGTAATGTTGCCGCTGAGCCTGTCTGGTACCACACACTGTTGGATACAGAGCTCTGTAAGTTCAAACTCTTAAAAGAGAAGTAACTGAATGCCTTACCTAGAAGGGATGTAATAGTTAAGGTTGGCAAATGGCATGTATGGGGAGGAGAGAAGAGTGGAATCTGCAAAGGAAGGAAACTGTAAGAGCCTTTTTACTATTAACCTTGGTACTGAAGCACTAGCTGTGTCCCTGTATCTAACAGAACAGTACTGTACTGAGAAGCTTCAGACATTCAACTTCTCTGTGGCAGCTAGGGAAAGCTAAAGGAATGGACTTTCTTTTAAAGGAAATCATGTCAAGTGCTTGTTTTGCTCAGAATCAAAGTAGAGCCACCAGAAAGACATCACCTTTTAGCTTTGTTGAACCTACTCATGTAAGAAAGTTTTGCCGGCAAGATGGGAGGGGGATTTCTGGGCATGTCAACTGTGGAACTCAAGGTGACCAAGGTCTGAGAAATTCAGGGTGTCCACTTCCTTGGGCTCTTCAGAAATGGAAGTTTTCACAGAGCTACACTGAGTACCCTGGCCCAGGGAAACACAGTATGAACACATAGGAAGCACACTCAGGCTGTGCCCGTTTGTCACTAGAGAAGCCAAGGGCTAGACTACAGGGTTAGGTTCAGAACCACAGCTGGGGAATCGAGAATTCTCTCACGGTGAAATAATTTGGGCGTCCATGGTCACAGTTTCACTGATGGGTGAAACCATTATTCTTGGCTAGATGTGCGAGGAGAAAACCAGCTATTTATAGGGGGAAAGGCTTCACTTAAAAGTGTTAGAGCTTAGTTGATTACTGATCATGTAAGTAAATGTTAATTCTGTTCACTGGCATGTTGGGGAAGAAATCTGGAGAAAACAATACTCAATATGAGTTTGCAGGCTACCTACAGTGAAAGCCAGGGTTCTTTAGAATGAGCATATTGCTACAGGGATTTTAGAATCTTAGGAAAGGCCTTGAAGTCCTATCTGTATCTCTGAGTTTCCTTCAGGTTGGAAGTAGCATGGGACTAGCTTAAGTCCATTTTAGAGTTTCTTGTTTTGTCTCTAGCATAGTTGGGTACAGTATTCCCTAAGATGTCTATATTCATAAGTATTTGTAATTCCTAGGTATATAATTTTATAGTCTGAATAAGCTATGCATTTAACTTCTGTATGAAAAGGTAGCAAAATAACCAAATGGGGACAACTGAACTTTTTGACAGTAGTCTCTAAACCTTGGCTTCTGCTGCAATCAAGGAACTTTTCTCCTTAAAATGAATAGTTTCCAATTAAGGTAGAAATAATAAGGTGAATCTTGAGACAAGGTTCTTACTACTTACTTTTTTCACAGCTTGAACAAACAAACAAAAGTAAGGATTCTGCAGAAAGCCAGTGGTACTTAAACTAGCTGATGAGTCAGATTCAGTTAAACAGCTGGTATGCTCTTTTAGAACTAGATGTTTATACTAAATACGTGATAAAATTAGGTATGCCCTGGGTCTTTGCCAGCGGTTGAAACTGAACACCAATGGCAGTGCCCAGAGAGCTGGGAATGGATTTGTGTCATCTATTTTAAATAGGCAGTGTCCATGGGGAGAGCTATGTGTATTGTTTTCTGAAGACTGCATTTAATTAAGTCTATGAGTCACTGAAGAGAATTTTAAAAGAAAATGTTAAAAATTATATTGTTATTGGATAGAAATTAGGTAGCTGTCTGGCTTTTTTTTTTTTTTTTTTTTTTTTTTTTTTTTTTTTTGTGAGAGAGTAAGTCTCACTGTCTCCCAGGCTGGAAGGCAGTAGCACGATCTCGGATCACTGCAACCTCTGCCTCCTGAGTTCAAGAAATTTTTCCTGCCTTAGCCTCCCAAGTACCTGGGATTATAGGCATGTACCACCACACCCAGCCAATTTTTGTACTTTCAGTAGAGATGGGTTTTGCCATGTTGGCCAGGCTGCTGTCAAACTCCTGACCTCAGGTGATCTGTCCACCTCGGTCTCCCAGTGTTGGGATTACAGGCGTGAGCCACCAGTGCTCGGCCCCTCTTTTTTTTAAATGAGAGTGGAATCCCTAAAAAGAATCCTTTCTAAATAAAAATTTTAAGGATGCACTCAAAGTCAAAGACAGACTGACACAAGAAAGTGGAATTTCTTAGGTCTGATTAGTATATAGAAAAGTCATAGAACTTAAAGGGGGTACAGGTACTACTGAATGAATACATTTCTTTGCTGGGCCATAACTAAACTACAACCTGTATTACTTGCAAATAGATTATTTAGTCTCAGTTGCACTGTTAAAACAGTCTGAGGGTAGGAGAGCTCTCTTTGGTGAATTAATCAGATAGTCCCTAGACAGGCCCAAAGCAAGGGCAACCTGTGCCCAGAATACTAGCACTATCCCAAGACTCAGAACTAATGGCAATACTGGGTCAGTCAGGCATGGTGGCACATGTCTGTAATCCCAGCACTTTGGGAGGCCAATGCAGGTGGGTTGCTTGAGATGAAAAGCTGAGGCCAGCCTAGGCAACATAGTGAGACCCCCAGCTCTACAAAACATAAAAACAATTAGCTGGACTCAGTGGCATGTACCTATACTCCCAGCTACTTGGGAAGCGGAGATGGAAGGACTGCTTGAGCCCAGGAGTTTGAGGCTGCAGTGAGCTATGGCTACACCACTGCACTCCAGTCTGGGCAACAGAACAAGACCTCATTTCTTTAAGGTAAACAACCAACCAATGGCAGTACTGGCCTTGATTATCAGAATTGTAACCCAGACTGCAAGGAGAGGAACTGTCCCTGAAATCCTGTTTAGAAAGCCATCAACGGCAAACACTTGTTTATACAGTTTTTGAAAGGTGGTATAACTAGACTGGCAGTAGATTCTTTTAAACACGTTAGTAGGGCAATAGTTTTGTTTCTTTCAAAGGAATAACATTTAGGCAGCAATACATACATGAATGTTTGCCTAGAAGTCCTATTCCCTAAATAATAATATTTTGATAATTGTTTTAAATGCCAACCCTTTCTTAATATAGACAGTTAGGCATTGTTATGTTAAATAAACTATTTTCTTTATTCTTTCTTCTCTGTTAGCTTTATCTTCAAGCCAGGATGAAGGGAGACTGGGCAAGACTCTTACGTCCCACACTGCAATTTGGTCTTGTTGCTGTATCCATTTATGTGGGCCTTTCTCGAGTTTCTGATTACAAACACCACTGGAGTGATGTGTTGACTGGACTCATTCAAGGAGCTCTGGTTGCAATATTAGTTGTAAGTATACAGGTCAACAGCCTACATCTTGATATTGCTAAACATTTAGATAATAGAAAAAAAATTCCCACTGAGAAAACTGCACAGTGGGCAAGAATCCCAAGGTTATTAAAAGTCACTTGAGGATCCACAGCTGGTAAAAACCAGGTTACTCTTTGTAAAACTTAGTATTTTTATAAAATCCGAGTATTTTTTATTGTAAAAGGCCCTGGCTGAAAGTTTTTTTTTTTTTGGTGGGTTTGGGGGGTGGGGTAAGAGTTGAAAAAATTAATTCACATGCAGAAATAACTCTTTTATTAACTATTGGCAAAATGAAGCTATTTGCTGTAGGACATAAAGCAACTCTTAATTTGGAATAATCTCCTTTAAAAAATCCGAGTTAGCCTCTAATTTTTTATATGCTTAACCTGTACACCTCAAATTATATCTTTTTGTCTGTATTTATCTTAGGATGCTGTTGATCACAACTTTGTATATAGTTTTTAACTTAATCTAAATTATACCATTAAATATTTTGCTCTGTAGGCTGTATATGTATCGGATTTCTTCAAAGAAAGAACTTCCTTTAAAGAAAGAAAAGAGGAGGACTCTCATACAACTCTGCACGAAACACCAACAGGGAATCACTATCGGAACAATCACCAGCCTTAACGGGCAGCCGGGTGCCCAAGTGAAGCTGGCCTGTTTTCTAAAGAAAAATGATTGCCACAAGGCAAGAGGATGCGTCTTTCTTCCCAGTGTACAAGCCTTTAAAGGACTGCTGCTGCTGCTGCTATGCCTCCTGGATGCCCACTTTGTGTGTACATAGTTACCTTTAACACAGTGGTTACTGAATAGCTCTAAATTCATTTAAAAAATTCCAAGCCTTTCACCAAAACAATGCCCCACCTGTATACATTTTTATTAAAAAAATGTAATGCTTATGTATAAATGTGTATGTAATATGCTTTCTATGAATGATGTTTGATTTAAATATAATACATATTAAAATGTTTGAGGACAACTGTCTTGAGGTGGGAGAACCAAATCCACATTTGCAGGCATTTGTAGTCAACTATAATCAAACAGGTGGTGAATAATATAATTTAAACTCTCACATTTCTTCAGCTGACTCTACAAGTAGAGGCTGGCAGCAAACACAATATCTCTCTTGATTTTGGTGATTCCTAAGAGAGAAGAAAATAAGGTTTAAACTTTCAAGACCACAAAACACCTAACTTTTCTCTACTGAAGTTTTAAAGACAGCATACCAACCCTGATTCAACTGGTAAGAGAGCAGCCCGGAAAGTCAAATAACTTGCTGAACACCTAGAGGAATTTGCAGCCACCTCTGTAAGGTGGAAAACACCGAAGCCAGACCCCTGTTCTTCTGACTCTGAACTACTTTATGGGGGATGGCCGGGAAGGAGATGTCCAGAACTGCTTAAAAAGACACATTCTAGGAAGGACTAAACTGTCTAAAGAAAGGTAAACCCAAAGACTTGGATTTTCAACCTGTATCAGAAGACACTGTATTGTTTTTCAGCTCCCATGTGAACTTAATTCTGGGCCAAGGCAGGACAAATAGATATTTTATTTACAAATTATTTTTAAAACTTTGACACCTACACTGAGTTTAGTAACTCTGAGTTATTAAACAGGCTTGCTTTTATCAACGATACGGAAATACAGCCAGATTTGCAGACCTCTTCTTAGGACGCTTAAGTGGTTGGCAGAAATCACCAGCATTGACTGACTCAGCTACAATGTGGTTACTACTTTTTGATGCTTTAACTTAGTCCTTTTTCTTGGTCAGGATTCCGTAGAAATGACAAAACTATTTACGGGCATGGTTATGCCCCTCCCCCCCCATTACAACCCCTTGGTTTAGCCATCCTTTCTTGATCTGGTCTTACAGCTTCTATTGTGCTACACTACAGACTTGCCCTGATGTAAGAGCAAGAATTACCTTGTAAAGTCCAAGTCAGGGCAGGTTACTCCCAAGCTCCACACCTCCAATCACTGCAGAGTTGAGAAGTCTGGGGCTGGGAGCTATGAAATCCTTTCCTTTCTCACTTCAATTCCTACTACTCTACTCACTGCTCATTCTGCTCCAGCCAAACTGGCCTCTTGCTGTTGTTCAAGTATATCAAGCATATACCAAGGGGCTTAACTGCCACCCTCCCTGTGGAGGCACTAGACCATCTCACCCATCTGCGAATTCTATTGTCTTTTCTGCTTTTTTACCTAATAGACTTATCACCATCTTGTAAGTTTAACTGTTGACTTCTTGTCTATCTCCCCACACTAGAATGTAAACTCTATGAAGGCAGTGGTATCTTCTTGTTCACTATATCCCCTAGTGCTTAACGCCTGGCATGCAGTAAGTGTACAATCAATACATATAAATGGATGTATATATAAAATCTCAACAACCCCCCCCCAACACACTAAATTTTATAGATTCACTAGTAGATGGCTGTCTATGAAAATACAGTGAAGAACATCTCAAAATGTCCTCCTACATTGTGGTCCAGGGCTCAAGATTTGTGTCACAAAATTTGCCTAAATTAGAAACAGCTTATGCATTTGGTACTGACCTTCTGCAAATTTATTTTCCAGCTCAGTGTTTCCAATGGCTTTTGCTGCTTGACACATTTGTCGAAGCAATTCTTCCAGGCGCCTCATACAACGAATTATGCTGCCTGGATAGAAAAGGAACAAAACACTTGTAAAATGGAAATAATCAGGAACTGCAGAATTTTTGTTGAGAGGCAAGGCAGGAGAACACAGGATAATTAACGGTACTTTGAGGGACTTCCCATGAAGTAAATCAGGTAGCAAACCTGTCAGGTACTGGGGAAGGCTGCAGAGATGAAAGGCTTAACTCCCATCTCTGACTAATAGTAGAGAAAGAGCTGTTTATTACTAATGTGCTGACGATTGGTATTAGGTAGGAAAACAAAATGCCCTAGGAGGAGGGAGCAACTCCTAGGAGGCTGCAAAGATGACACAATCTGTGTCTGTAAGAACGAGGCAGTATCTCCCAGGCAGCAACAAGGGAAGAACCACCACGACAATGCAGGCTAGCCTGGCAAACCACAGCTATTCAAGGACCCTGAGCGTGGCCTAGTGAGGCATCTGGACACAAGCCATACCATCTCATAGAATACAACAGATTGCTTTTAGTAGGAGAGTAACAGGATAAAATTTGCCATTTTAAAGGTGGACTCGTTCATTCTTCTTGACCTTAGCTTCTTTCATTAGTACGTTCTTTACACAGAGTGTTCTCAAGGAGCACAAGGAAAGATGCCTTTTCCCATGGGTCTAGACTCAGAGAAGTGTTTGTATCAAAGCTGAAGCTATAAACGTAGTTTCACTTTTGCTCGGCTTATGCAAAGAGGGGCAGAGATTGCGATATCCTTTCTCTAAGTGCTACCTACCTAAATCTAAAACGCTTGTGACTTCATTTTTAATGCATGAAATAAATATATTAGGAATACCAGTTCTCAAAATGCAATCTGTAGAACAACGAACTCAATGTTTACACTATTATTAGATTAATAATTATTAATTTGTTATTTCTATTCTTAGCTGCTAGGAATGCTGGCTCCAATACTGCCTTTCAATGAAACAGGAACTCCAACTGCAGAAAGTTCTGGGTGTCAAGGACTTGGGATAGAGAGGGTAGTATCATATTATCTATGCAATCAGATATTAAATGTTAAGCAAACAATAATATCCAAAGAAAAATTAGGTAGTGGGTTAAAATATAACTAGATTTTTACCTGAGACCAGATTCTCACAGGTCATTTAGGATTGAAATGAAATCCTGTACAAAGTCTTCTGCTATGTAGGGCATTAACGAGCCAGACATTCTCTCAAACACTGTTTTGACTGACTTAAAATGTGTACCAAGAAACAGAATGTGATATTATTTCACAAATTTTAGTAACTCCTGTTACCCAGAATCTGCAAAAGCTATCAGAGACCAAACCATATGAAGTAAATTACTAAGATAAAGAATAAACTAAGGCAAGTAAATGCACATCCAGGCCAGAGAGCACTGTCGAGACATTTTGTCAACATTTTGATTCAATTTCTGGAAAATTTAGTTTTGACACAGTTTCAGGTAAAAAGATAACAAGAAAATGAGGCCAGCAGGCACAAGGCTGCAAATACGATGGCTGTGGTGGTTGCCCACAGTCTCATCAACAAATCACTGGGTGTGTGCACAAACTGTCCACAGCTGCCTGAAGCACAGAAGCTACTCCAGGGATTAATGAAGATGAAGGGTTAAGTAGTGAATGATACAGCATCTCTCCTACCTGCTACAGTTCTCTCTAATCCAAGGGCTCTCCTTATGCCCAGCTTTAGAAATCATCCTGCCTCATCAGCCTGACTAGGTGCTAGACAAAAGCTTCAAAGCCATGACCCATTATAGGCTAAATGAAGCTGACCAAAACCAAACCAAACCAAAACCACATTAACCTACTGGTTACAAATCTTTTCTTTTGGTCCTGTCAGAGTAGAAAGAGAAATCAAATTCTTTCTAGTTGTTGTCCTTGAAAAATTTTTTTTCAAATAGTGGTAAAATATAAAACATAAAATCCACCTTTTTAACCATGTTAAAATATACAATTCAATTACTGCCCTTTTAAAAAATTCAGGTTTACTACATTCTGGAAGAACTCACATGGAGATATAATTCACATACCATAAAATTATTTTAAATAAGTGTACAACTGAGTGGTTTTCAGTATACTGAGACTTATGTAACCATCACCATTATCTAATTTTAGAGGATTTTTACCACCCCCAACAAAACCCTGTTCCCATGAAGCAGTTACATGTCCTCCTGTCTCTCCAGCCCATGGCAACCACTAATATGCTTTGTCTCTACAAATTTGCCTATTCTGGACATTTCATGTAAGTGAAATTATACACTACGTGGCCTTTGTATCTGCCGTCTTTCAACTTAGCTTAATGTATTCAAGGTTTGTCCATATTGTAGTATGAGTCAGTATGTCTTTTCTTTTTTTTATAACTGAAAGCTGTTCCGTTTAATCTTTATTAAAATGGAACACCTTGACATTTAAAATGGCAAAAGCCACAATTACTTTTGCACCAACCTAATATATACCACAATTTATTCATCTATTGATGGACACTTGGGACTATATGCTTTTATTTAAGAGCATTTTAATAAACATCGGCCTTACTTACCTGGTTGATGAACAAAACAGCCATTATTCTCATTAAGGACCGAAAGCAGCAGATTTTCCCAAACAGCATTTCTGCCTTCAGCTTTCTGGCATACCCTAAAGCAGCTTCTCACAGTTCACACTCTGACCCTAATTTAATACTCCAGTGTAGCTTGGCATGAGGTTAGAATCACACACGTATCTTGCAACTACCTACCACTAAACTCCAGCTTAGGCTGAACCCTTTCTTGACAGCAGAGACTGCTGCTCACGCTGTAACTAGCATGATTCCTGATTACCACTAGGGACTCACAATTATTCATCAAAAGAATAAGCATCAGGTACTAAAACTGTGCCAAAATGTAAACGCAGAAACAATTATTAATAAATTGTTACTATTATTATTAGCAAGAATACTTTTAAAAGACAAATGCACTGAAAAATCACTCATGACACTGACAATGCTAAGAAAGGGTAACAGCTACTTGAAAGGCATGCGAAAATGTGTCTGGTTGGGGACACTTAAGGAATGCACTTCACAGCATTTGCTTTCAAAACGTGGTATACAGAGGGAGCAGGACTGAAATAACATAAGAAAAAAGCATATGGTAGACAGAGGGATAGTAAATAGTTGCAAGAGATGATTCATCATAGAAGCTTTCCTAATGACACTTGCTCAGTGGAAAACAAACCATTTGTCATCCTTCATAGTTAAGAGTACAATATTGTTTATGCAGAGTCAGAAATAAATAATAAATAGTAACAGCAGCCTCCGGATTACTTGACTAAAACCCTAGGCATCAACCCATACAAATATTTTG